TTTACTGTGCCTCTTACGCACAAGGCTGCCCACATTGATTGTGGTTGAGCGGCAGCTGCCCACATCCCCGTGTGCCTTCATGGCCCACTTGCACGCTATTTCAGGAGGCAGAGTAAAAGGGAAGGCATGCTCCTGTGCATCTCTTCAGAGCTTCATACTCCTGTTTTCACTTCAGATCTTCAGCTTATACAGTCTTTGTGTCCGTCCTTCATCTGCATACTTCCGTTCATTTCATTTCTGATTTTCATATCGTCTATACTCTTAATGATGTTCATTTGTATGTATTTGTTAGTAGTACAAGGGGAGTGGAGAGGAGGGTGGAGGGTAAGGGGTAGAAGTCGGAGTTCTCTAGGAGTATGGGGCAGGGGAGGTAGGGGCAACGGGAGGGCAGGATAGAGTATGACATGCAAAGAGCAGGGGAAGGTGTATGACGGGTTTCACAGATTTCTAAATATTCACCACTGAAGCAGATGTAAGGAAAATGAGAGATAGCAAGATGACAGAATCCAGATAGCACAATCACATTGAAAGCAAGAAAGTCCCACAGTGTCCAGATGAGCAGCATTGCACCAATAATACACCAATGGAGAATCGAAACACTGAAACCGAATGTCAATGAGAGCTTTACTCTCGTCCCCACTAACATACGTATCCAGGCCCTCTCTCCCTACTTGGCGCTCGGCGCCCAGGCTACTCCCTACACAGCTACTTCCTGCCTACGAATTGACAATGCAACTGTTGACGTCAGCAGCCACCGAAGTACTTGAAGATGTCGACCAATGCAGACCATTGCCAATACAAGGTATGTGCCCTCACATCATCATTCTCATCTCTATCACTCTCTCCCTATCCTTGTCTTCCTCCCATGTCTTCTCCCTCGTGCACGAAGACCACCACCACCTCCACAGACTGTCCAAGCAAAGCCCTGGCTATGTAGGGCTGGCTATGGCGCTGCCCTCAGCAGCGCCCTGCCTTCTTCCAGCGCCCGCGTGCACTGCCTGGCAGCTAGCGCTAGTGC